AAAAAAAAAAAAAAAAAAAAAAAAAAAAAAAAAAAAAAAAAAAAAAAAAAAAAAAAAAAAAAAAAAAAACAAACAAATATATTCAATCAGAAAAAATTATTTCAAGAAGGTATAGCAGTAAAGAAAAACCTGCCTGTGAACTTGGATAATCTTTGAAACTGATCCAACAAAAGCATGCTTGCATGACCAAGAGAGAGAATATCCATTAAGCATCAAATTCAAAGCAAAATCATGCTGCCATAAGGAACATGGCACCCAACAAAACAAACATAGGCTTCTAAAATAGTTTTTAAACTTAGGAATGTGTGTGGGTGTAAACTGAAAGTACACATGCTAATTTAAGGTGGGACCTGGGAATGATTTTCAGTGGCTGTGTGTTTTTGCAGAATTACCTAATAGTTTTTATCCTCAGGTTTCTCAGCTATAAAATGAGGAGACCACCATCTACCTCATTGGGCTGAGTGGGGATTAAATGAAGTACTGTAAGACATTATAACAGGCACTTAGTAAAAATGATTCCTTCCTCCTTTTAATCTGGAGAAAGTTACGCCAGTAAGACAAAGTACCATGTGCATTTATATAAGAAGGAACAAAGTAGCACATTAATCTGCTGGAGGGGATGGTGGAGACAGTCAGGGAAGACCCTTGGAGAAGTCTTCTTGAATGAGCAGGAAGTCACCTGTAGGCACAGGTGGAGCAATCCAAGCAAAGGCAGCAGCATGTACACAGGTATGGAATGAGACAGATAAACACAGGGAGAGCAGGACATTCTAAATGATCTGCGGTATCTGGACTACATACTGTAGTAACTCCAAGAACTAACACTATTGAGTGAGATAGTGGGTATTAAGTTTAATAACATAAAACGATAGATAATTTTTTTTTTTTAGGAGACGGAGTGGTGCTCTGTCACCCAGGTTAGAGTGCTGTGGCACGATCTCGGCTCACTGCAACCTCTGTCTCCCAGGTTCAAGCAATTCTCCTGCGTCAGCCTCCCAAGTATCTGAGTCTACAGGCGTGTGCCATCACACCCAGCTAATTTTTGTATTTTTAGTAGAGACGGGGTTTCACCATGTTAGCCAGCCTGGTCTCAAACTCCTGATCTCAGGCAATCCACCCACCTTGGCCTCCCAAAGTACTGGGATTACTGACATGAGCCACTGCGCCCAGCCAGTAATAGAGAATATTTATTAAGCAAGCAGGGTATGGTGGCTTACACTTGTAATCCCAGCACTTTGGGAAGCTGAAATGGGGGAGGATTGCTTGAGGTCAGGAGTTTGAGACCAGCCTGGGCAACGTGGTGAAACCCCATTCCTACAAAAAATTAAAAAAATCAGCTGGTTGTGGTGTTGCACACCTGTAATCCCTGCTCCTTGGGAGGCTGAGGTGGGAGGATGGCTTGAGTCTGGCAAGTTGAAGCTGCAGTGAGCTGTGATTGTGCCACTGCACCTTGGCGTGGGCAACAGAGTAAGACTCTGTCTCAAAAAACAAATATCACTAAGCACTTACTATATGCTTGGCACTAGTCCAAGTGTTAGGCCTGTATTAGGGTTATTAGAAGGGTTCACTAAGTTAGTAATGTAAAATACCTAGAAGAGCTTGGTGTAGAGTAAATGTGAATTATTATTATGGGTTTTTTTCTGGATATTGGGAATTTAGGTTATTTGTTAGGAATTGAGGTTATTTCTCATTTGTGAGAAAGCAGGATTTGCGAAAAGAAGTTGTTGAAAAGAGTGGGGGCGTGAGGTTCCCAGTGAAACACAGGAATGCTGGGGAGATATCCATACAGAACAGGTGGGAACAATCTGTCGTAGTGCCTAACATCACAAACACTGAGTACTGCGTGCCTGCGCTCAGGAGTAGGTAGTAAGAAAGCAGATAGCCGGCACTGAGATGGATGTGATTACAAAGCAGAGGGCAAGGGAGCTGAAAGTATTGGCAAGAAAATATGTAAAGTGTTGGGCCGGGTGCTGTGGCTCACGCCTATAATCCCAGCACTTTGGGAGGCTGATGCAGGAGGATCGATTGAGCCCAGGAGTTCGAGACCAGCCTGGGCAACTAAGTGAGACCTTGTTTCTACAAAAAAAAAAAAAAAAAAGAAAAAGAAAAAAATTAGCCAGGCATGGTGACACATGCTGTCCTAGCTCTTTAGAAGGCTTAGGTAGGAGGGTCACTTTGTGCCGGGGGGGTTGAGGCTGCAGAGAGCCCTGTTTGTGTCACTGCATTTCAGCCTGTACAACAGAGCAAAACCATGAAAAAAAAAGAAAATAAAGTGTTGGACTTGGTTATAACCCAAGAAAGCAAAATGGAGAGGGTTGAAGGTTTAGGAAAATATATACTAGAATATCAAAATCTATAAGGGCAGGAGATTTTGTTCTGTTTTGTTCACTTCTTTATACCTCTAGTGTCTAGTGCAGTGTGTGGCAATTAGCATGCTGACACAATTCTACTTTCTACACTTCACATTCTACTTATGGAATACTCATGGCAGTAATTCAGACAGACAGACTCATAATCCTATCAAACCTTCAGACCTACCAATTACCAATTTACAGTAAACCAGGAGGGCAGAAGAATATGTTAAAGGACAGCACAGGCATATAAAATTGGAAGGAAAAAAAAAGAGGGAGGGGAAAACAGATTAAACGAGACAAAAAACATTTCAATCATTTGGAAGGTATAGATATGATGGAGATCCTAATTTGAACACACTATAAAAAATTAGGACATAGGCTGGGCACAGTGGCTCACGCCTGTAATCCTAGCACTTTGGGAGGCCGAGGTGGGTAGATCACCTGAAGTCAGAAGTTCAAGACCAGCCTGGCCAACATGGTGAAACTCCATCTTTACTAAAAATAAGAAAATTAGCTGGGTGTGCTGGCATGAGCCTGTAATCCCAGCTACTTGGGAGGCTGAGGCAGGATAATCACTGGAACTGGGGAGGCAGAGGATGCAGTAAGCCAAGATCACACCACTGCACTGCAGCCTGGGTGACAGAGCAGGACTGTCTCAAAAAAAA